TGTAGATATAAATCAAGGAAGTACTGTGATACAAAAATAAAATAAACTAAGATTAAATCCTAGAGAAAATCATATCCACTTTTGTTTATTGATTATTTACTAGTTTGGATATATTTTTGAAACCATTGAATCCACTATGATTTCAAAACTAGCTAAAACAAGGTTTTTTCATTGTGCTAAATTAATTTTAACAATAATCAAAATTTATGAAGTAGATAAAAATCTTTAGTCGATGTAACATAATTAACATTTCATCCTGTGAAAATCAAGAATAAACAGCCAGATATCGACTTATAAATTATATCTATTTGAGACTTTTTAAGCCTATTATAAACATATCTTCAACAGAGATGTTTACTAGAGAACCAGTATTAGATGAAAATTTATAAGAAACAACGATAATTCTTTTTGAATTAGCAAATGTCTTCCATAGAACAATCTGTATTTGTCAGCATATGGTTTTTGTCATTAAAATTTCCTTTTTTTTTTCATCATGAACAGGCGAACAAATATGGATAACAAAAAAAATGAATCGTTTCTTAATCATAATAAATATTGCACTTGTACATATATTTGACAACAATATTCTATTTTATTTTTATTCATCATTTTTATAAACTAATGCCTTAAGAGAAAACAACAATATCTGAATTTTTGATTATTTTATTTATAAAAAAAAAATATAAACTACAATTAACACTACAAAAATTTCTATAAAATCTTTGATCAGAATGTCCTAAGAAAATCAGGATAACCTGGTTCAAAAGTGATTGATATTCGTTCATCAATCGAATAGAAATTAAATTGTATATCTATTCGTTCTTGTTTTTGATGGATAAATAATTTTGTTTTGTGAGGAATTTGATTTTGAACAACTCTTTCAATATTTAAATATTTGTCTAAATAGTCTAACAATTCTCGTCCTATATATTTATACCATCCATTATATTTATGTCTTGGACGTTTTACTAGTGAAAACAGATGATGAGATTTTGTTTCAAATGTTCTATAAAATTCCGGATGACAATCATTGGCAAAACGAAATGAATAGACCTTTATTGAATTGATGAATTTTCGATCAGCTGTGTAAAGCCAGATGAGAGAATGTGCCTCTTTGTTATTGCGTACAGCATCACCATATTGTAGATTATTTTGAATAATTCTTTCGAATGATATATTTTTAATATTAATTAATAATTGATTGAATAATAAATCATAAAATTCTTGATAATGATCATCTTCATAATCCATTATAGCATCTGTAGCTTCTTCAATAGACAATTGTCGATAAAATTCTTGTTTAGGCATCTTATTTCAATAGAACTCTCTGTAAATGAGAATACAATTTATTTGGACTTATATAATACAAGAATAGGTTGAAATTTTCCAATGACTTCATAATGGAAGACATATTCAATTGGAAAAAAACCAATGTCATATCAACAATAGCAATATTTGCATAAGTCAAGCCTTTTTTTTTCTCCCGTGAGAAGAAAGAAAAATGAATAAAATGGTATAGTAGACAAATCAATGCCGACTGTAGTCAATTGGCTTTGACTCATGTTGACTATAAAGATTTTTTTTTTGAAAGTAGGAAAGAAAGAGGTGCCTCTTTATGAATTGTTTTTTACTACGAAAAAGTATGTGAGCATGTATTATTAATAGCGTTCGACTAGAACGAATTTTTCTCGTATTTTTCGACTCTGGTTAACATAAGAATCAGGAATGGAGATTCTCGTAAAGAATTTGGGAATGAAAATGGTATTAAAACTGGTTGTCCTAAAAAATTGTTTTATTATCTTGTTTCATATATATGCGCTCAAAACTGTGCTCTTTCAAATAAAAGATATCAAAATCAAATTGATATTACATTGTTGAGAAACAGATTTCGACAATATTTCAAAGAGTTTTGCATCGTTTGTCAATTAAAAAATAATAATAATAAAAAACTATCAGCAAAAATTAGATAAGTTCAAATCATTATTTATTCAATTATCACAACTATTATTTTCTTAGTGACTATCACTTGACAAAAGAGCAATTATTAAGATTATCGCGTAATATACCATTATTATGATCTTGTTCTTTTGAATGGTTTCATTTGTTTCATCGATCTTGTTGATATGCTAATATTTTTATTTATTTTCAGTTGTTCATTTGATGAAAGAAATAATTCTCTTAACTTAATAGCAGCTTCCAGGATTTATTTTCTCGGAATTTTTTAATGAATTCCGCTAATGTTGCTAGTTCAGAATTTATTAGGAGTTGAGGATGTGAATATGGAAGGTTTGTATAATAAACTTCGCGACAGAATAATATAGCGGTGTCAATTTATATATATTTTCAATTTAGTTTATGTGCGAATTAAATTATCAGAAGTTCCAATTTAAAATATCAATAATTTCATTTATTTTATATTTAAATTACTTTCACTTGACAATTTACTAATTAAAAATTAAACTAAATTATTACGCTTGTTTTTGAAACTTAATGCAAGATATATTTCCTATTGTTAATTACGAAGTCCACATAATTCAAATTCAAAATTAATAAAATTTATTTTAGAATGACAGAAAAATGATATCCCTAGAATAATATATTCGGTAGAATACAGTTATGCATTATTATATAGAAAGATTCTTAGTAGGAATGGTAATAATAGGAATTTTTTTTAATGCAAAACATCTTGGTTTATAGTAAATAATAATCATGATGAATGGTATTAGTTGTGTCCAATTATATTGGAATTTTTCTTTATTGTAATTATGTAGTAATTCCAGCATGTGAGATACATGAAATAATCGACAATTAAAAGAATATTCAATTTACTAATTTTATTTAATAATAATTTTCGTTCTCGATAAAAGAGAAATATTTGTGTCTATGGAATTGTAAAAATATTTAATAAAACCTTAAACAGTTAAATAATGATGTAGTCTATACTGTTCCAATATGGGTGTGTGAGTGTGTCACAGGTAGGCATCCACACCCAAATCAATTTGAAAATTATACAAAGCTAAGTTTAGAAAAATAAAATATTAATTTCTTCTCAATCTTAGACATTCAACATATCCATTATGTACGTTTAGTAATTTTCGATTTCATAATCATTGAAGTCAAATATAGAGTTAATCATTTTGTTGTATTTCTTCGAAAAAAAGGGTATGGATGTGGTTTAAGCGAAGACTCAAAATCAAAGCTTACATTCACATCCTGAATTATATCTAAGCAAGGAAAAGAATGTTCGAAAAGAACGAGGATGTGGATAGAGTTTGCACACACTCACATCCATTCGAATAAACATTCATCTGATTAATCTGTCAATTTTCTTAACATTTACTGTTATTCTATCAACTTCTACAGCTGTTGTTTAAATATTTCGAAAAGAATTTTTCATATTTCGTGAATTATATTTCATTAAATTTATCTTCAGTTAAATCATTCATTTGATTATAAGATAATATATGATTAGCTAATAATATTTCAATTAATGATAATGATATTGCATTTTATATTGATTCAATATCTCGATTCGATACTAATTTCTATAGAATTAATATTAGTACATATACGTTCTTTCAATGATTGAATTAATTGTTTGATAAGATCTAAATTTGATTTCATAACAAGGAAATTTTTATGAGTACAATTTATAAATAATTATTGTAAAAGACATTGTATTGATATTGAATGGAGTTCACTTGCAGTTGTTATCGATTCCCATGACAATGATATAATCGAGGCCATCCGATTGACCGGTTTGGTCGTCACCGATAAAAAATGTCAAATTCTCTAAGTTCTATAGGTATATGCCCTTTCTATACATCCCAATCTATACGTCGATTGTATAGGTTAGACCGGGCATAGTCCCAACTTATGATCTCAAATTAAAGGAACCAATCGACTGTTGTGTGTGGGTGTGGATTTCAGAGTGGGGGTGTGGAAGTGTGTTATTTTCTATTCATAAACTCACACCCGATTAGTAGTGTCCACAATCCTATCTTATCCAAGCGAAGAAATCACCATCAAATTCTTTGCAAAAAAAATAGAACCATTGAACAGACAAAATGAATTTGACAATAAGTTCTAGTAATTCTTAGTGATTGAATGTGACAAATCTCGTTATTCTAGTATCGACTTAATCATAAGCTCTCAGTAAATCAAACGTGTCTATTTCATTCATAACAAATTCTCCCAACAATAATACTCATGTCAATGGTGAGGACGAAAATGCCATCAATGATTTTATTGTTTCGCTTTCAAATATTCATTCAAATGTATTATTTTCTGTTTAAAGCTTGTTCTTTCTTCGATTTCTCTTGTATTATGTATGTTGATGCATGGATGTGTTCATTAGATTGTTTTTTTAAACTATCTATGCATGTATATCATATTGATAAGATAAAAATTAGTTTTATTATTGAAATAAAATCTCAAAGATACTCAATGGAGTAGCAAGAGAAACATGTTGCTTTTGCTTGCAACGATTAATGAATTGAAATCGCATAGTAACCATCAGTATCATGTAATAAATCGTGAAAAAACCGGTGCTTTATTGCAATATGTTGTTCTGTGAGTTGTTAGATTATCGGCCAATTTATTAGCAAATTTTCTGCGATTTTAGTCACATGGATTGACTGAACGGAAATCATTTTTTTCACAAGGTCGAATACCTCTTTGATCATGCTTATGGCAAAACATGCACATACAAAGTAATAGTGTCACTTGTGTATTTCTCACAAAATGTCTACTTGAATTTTTGTGTTATTTTTTCTTCGTGTAGCAGAAGAAAAAGAAAAAAAACGTTCTGTATAATTTGTCGTCGGTGCCTGAACAGAAAAAAAGAAATCTGACACAAACAATTAATCATTGAAAAGGTTTTTACAGGTGTATATATATACATTTTTTTTCTGATCTATTATAACATTCGTTTTTTAAGGCTATTACTCGTCATTTTACAATCTATTTCATTTTCAGTTGCTTAGAATCATTGAGCAACAATGACAGAGAATAAGAAAGTAACCATCGTTGTGGAAGGAAACTCTAATATTGGTGAGAATGCTGTTTTTGAAGTACAACCAATGATTGAGAAAGCAGGCGTCCTTATAGAAGAAAAACCGAATGTTGGTAACGAGGATGTTTCTGAACAGCAGGCAACGAACAAGAAATCATCAATCACAGGCGCAGTTGTTCCTGATAAAGCTATACAATCTTTGGGACTTTTTGGCTCAGTTGGTCTACTCATTTTTTTTGGTTTGCTAACTCCTATTCCGAGTGAGTGATGATACTACTCAGAAGCTCACTTATTAACTATCAATAGGTATTTCATTTTAGGGATTTCTTAAGTTAAGAACTGTTGTAAAAAAGATATCACATAATCCAAGAACATTTCAATACTCATATAACGTTATATACATGTTTTATTCAGCTATCAAACATGTTAAAATATATTTATTACTTAGGTTCAGTAATCATAGGATAGATAGGATAATTTTAAATTACATATAGTCCATAATATAATACTATTGTCGACCGAATAGCTGTTAACAGTAATTTCACAATACTTTTTATAATTATATATGTTATTGGTTCCTCTTATTTGTAGCATTAGCACTAACACAGTCAGTAAAAGTTCCTTATCATTTATTACATAGTTCAACATTAGGTAAAAATGGTTTTTTCGGTTATCAGAATCTGGTGAACAGATTATAAGAATGAAAATATCTCACGATATTTAAAATGATTGGAATATTATATGAAGTACAAACGACGATTGTTAAAACGTGTCTTTCTATGTCTAAATGCCGATAAGTGCTTTTTAAGAATCTAGAATATATTCTGGCCACTAGATTTAGCACAAAACTCATTTGATAATAATTTCTAGTTCTAGTTTCTGAATAAATTCTTCTTTTTTACTTTAATTTAATTGCAATGTATAACTACATGCATATCGTTTTTTAAAAAAAAATCCCTAATTGGTCATCAGGATAGAGTGACTTCGATAAATCCAATTGTAATCGCAGTCCTTACATATTTCTTGTATTGCATTAACAGAGTCTGAAGAAATGTGTGATGATGAAGACGATATTGTATATTGCTAATTATATGATTTAAGAAAATCGAACAAACAGTATAACTCCCATAATTTTTCTCAAAAAAGTTTTCGTGACTACTTAGTGAGAAGTCTCACACTTCGCATGTAATGACCTGGAAATGGTTGAAAATCTAAATCATGATGATATTTTCATTATTTTAATGTCTAATTTTTCTTTCACAGTTGCCGAAATTATCATCGGTCGATACTACGTAAATGATTGCCCAGTTAATCCGAAAATACCACATTATCTGTTTGTAACAGGTGTTGTTGTACTTATACATAACATATTAATCATAATTAAAGGTATTGTAATTACTACTATTATCAATCCAGCTAAGAAAGTCCGCGGCAACGATTCTAAGGCTGTTGGTATCAGCACTGGCATTGCTTGTATCACTTGTATTATCCTACTTATTATATTTGCTCTCACAATTTTTGCGATTGGATGGACCATTGCCGGACTTATATGGGTATTTGGTGCATGGAATAAAGTACAATATAGTGAACCGACTCAATCTACTTATTGTCATCCGACATTATACCGTTTTACTTATTGGCTATTTTTCCTCCCTTTTATTATTCCTGTTGTATTATGTTGCATATGTTGCTGTTCGATCTGTGGAGTAGGCGCCGCGGCTGCCACCATGAGCAATAAAGGTCGTCAACCAGTACCAACCACAGAAGCATGAAAAACCTAACTACACAAAAACGCATCCGTTTTATGCCGTTGATATTCATTTTCTTATTTCTTTTTCATTTCATAGACACTTATCATTCCTACTTTCAATGTCTCTTCTCTTCCGCCTCCTCTACTGGTATCATTTTTTTCTAATCCTTTCTATTTTTCTATATTTATCCATGTAACCTTTTTGAGGTTTGTAACGCGTTCATCAATATTTGCAAACAATATAACTTGGTGCATTTAAACGCTTCTACAATAAAACATTTTTAGGTATTTGAACGGATTTGAGAAACCGAACTAGAGAAAACTCGTCTATGCTGAAGAGAGATTCGAACGCGCTCATATCTATAGATGATTTAAATACGGTTTCTGATTAAAATGTGTTTCGATATGGTTATAAGATAAGCGTGTCCAAATGCTTTTATTGTATTACCAAAAATTTAAAAGATGATCAACACTATACGTAGAACTCAAGCGAACGTATCATAACGAACTATGATATAACACTCAGTACCGTATGCAACACAGTGGCGATTTTTCCAAAACTATCTTGAACATAGATTCGAACCCTAGACCAGTCAATTGCAAACCAAACACAACTAGCTCTGAAATATACACAGCTCGAAATGATCAGTATGTTTTTGCATGATATGAATAAAGATCTCTGTCTGTGATAGATAAATAGATACATGAGTGGTATAAAAAGATGAATTAACGATCTGTCATATCACTAACAATACTTCAATATGTGATATTGTTAAAAATACGGATGGTACATTAGAAAATGTATCTAAAAACCGTTGTCTGTAGATTCTTTTGTATCTATGATACTAAAGTTTTTTTTGTGAACAATCTGGAGAAAATAAAAAATTAGATTCTCATAGAAAAAAATATTTTTTTATTGTTTAATTTGCTTGTATTTTCTAAAACTAATTAAAAGATCATTCATCTTCATTTTTTAAATAATAAGAATTATTTTATTGGTCTTTATTTAATAAATATAAGTGTTGTTTATATCCATTATTTATTAGAAAGAATAAGAAAGATAAACTTAATACTTCTATTTGAAAAAGTGTTTTTTGTGAAGCTTTCATAGGATGAGATAGGTAATAAATAAAATACTAGAGAATAAAGAAAATACGCTCATAGATCTAGAAGTATACTGGAAATTCTTGAATGATCTCTTAGCATCCATCTTTTTGAAAATTGCTCGTGAAGCGATGGCAATCAATAGTATTGATCTTATTCGAAAATTAGAAAAATATACTATCGATGGTCATCTGAAATCGATAACAAGATTTGTTGCAGCTGATGTGACTGAATGTGAGTGTGTGGAAGTGGCTGAGTACTCATTTCATTCATACTCCACACCCTCCAGATCCATCACAATCTGTACTAGATAGTTCCCAGACCGCAATAGTCAGCTTCGCAAGGGACAAATGGCAGAATTCTGGAATCCTAGAATTCTACAAAATCTAAGAGAATTCTGAACTCCCGGATTCTATAGAATTCCACAGAATTTTGTAATATATCATAGGGAATTCATAGAATTCTAGGATTTTGTTATTTATCCCTTACGTTTTCGGTACTCAATTAGCAATCATATGTTATAACATCTCATAAGAATATATAAACTGTTTTCTTATTGCAGTTCTAAAGGACTAAGTAAAAGAAAATGAAAAAATAGTCCCAAATTATATAAAAAAAAACAATATTCATGGGATCAGTAACAACAGCAACATCGTGTGTCACATTTTAATCCCACAGGAATTGCGCTAACAGCTTTTTATAATTTGCTATGAAGAGGATTTTCTCAAGTAATAAACTACTAAAACACATATTTTCTAAAGATGTTTGACATACAGTTTAAACATATTCAGATTTATCAACGGCTCTGATCCTGGATGCAGGTGCGTGAAATAAGGTATTGGTCATGGTACACAAAAGATTCGCACTCACACCGATACCTATGCCCTCAAGTTCTTCAAAATCTTTAAAGATGTCTCTTAGCGGAAAACAGTGTCCTACATTTTCTATACAGTTATGGAAAATCCTATATAAAAGATGCTGTTGAATTCCTATATATTTCTATACTTCCATTGAATGACATTGCGAAGCTACGACTTCAAGAATTAGTAATAAATAATATGAAAGGCACATGTGCTATAGTTTAATGACATCTTTTATACAAACTCGTTTAATACGTGTTTTTGTCAAGGTTACTACTTCCTTGTTAATTAACAAAAAAAACCCTTGTCGCTCGATTTCAAAAAATTGTCAATGAAATTCTACTATAAATATTATTATAAGAGAGAATGTCATCAAATATTGTGATATTTAAAACGTCGAACTGACTACTCGAAACTCATACGAACGCATTGATTTAAAGATTATTACCTGTCTTTCTATAAACTAATTTCGTCGAAGTTCACAATTTATAACACAATCTGTAAATATGTCCTTCACTTTTATGTTTCGATAAGACATAGTTTTGTTTATAATATTATTTTCATAAGCAACCATCATATTAATCTGTTTTTCATTTCTTTCTTTTGCTTTTCTGTTTTTCTTTTTTTCAGTTTACATAGAAACGCAAAACATTAAAAAAAATGTGAGAGTGAAGAGAAAAAAACGCAATTCATACGTTATTATTACAAACTCGAAAGGTTACCTCCATTGCATAGCTACGATAATGAATGAGCTTCAAGACAACACTGATGGTGATACTGAAAAAAATGCAGATCTAATCAAAATCAATGAATTAATTGATCGTCTTGATTTATGTACAAGTCTACCTGAACAAAATTCTGATACATATGAAATTAACAATATACTATCTGCCTTAAAAGATCATCTGACTAATCCATCTATTAAAAATAGATTAATATCAAACGAACAAATACAAAAACATCAGTTGCCCATTATATTTATTCGCTTTTGTAAAATTTCAATCACATTTTCGTCTTCACTGTCCAAGTACTCACTATTTATGACTGTTATGCTGCATATTTGGAATATGATTTGTTCGAAACTTGGTGAATTAATTGATAACGAAATTCTATCAGCAAAAGAGTATTATACTATAGCAATGGATGGTTTGAGTACGGACGAGTTCTCTGCATATCTCACTGAAATTGATGTGGAGACTATTTTCAAATTCTACGTTAAAATATTTTTGAAATTAGCTAAAATCGTTGTTTGGGCAGACAGCCGATGTATGGAGCATCTAAAATTGTCCGATTATACAGCTCACAAGTCTTTGCACGAAGAACGATATGATGCAGTGTTTTATAAAATTATTACATTTATTGATCATTTTTTCACTGGCACAAAGGAGGATGCAGCAAGAAAAGAATGTGTCCAGATAATTTTCTCCCTTATCGTTGTTATGTCGGATAGCAAAAGTTTGCTACCTACAATAATTCATTTAGGTTTTCCAGCAAAACTTGTCGAATGGTTAAATATAATTAGTAAACGTAATATTTCATCTGATCCACTTGACTCACTTATTGTTGCAATGAGCAATATTAGTCAATGTGAAGAAGGTGTGATAGCATTGAACGAGGCTTGTGCCATCACTACTCTAGAAATGTCCGAAAAGGTTTTAGCTAACAGGCTGGAAGAAAATCATTTTACTTTATCATTTTATCCTCGAATATATGCGATGATATCAACAACGGATCAACTCAAGACTCTAACGGTTTTAAAACCAGCTATTGATTATTTACTCACAAAAATTCACGAAGCAAATGCTTCAAATAATTTACGTTCGAAAACCGGCCATCTCTACGAATACTTGGTACCGATCGCTAAACTTCTCATTAATGATAATGTAGCGACCTATCTATTAAATAATAGCGAAACAGGCGGTCTCGAATTCTTTATTGAACTCTTATACAAGCACGATATACTATCCTCTAATGATCTATTCGTAAAACATCTCATTCGACTAGCACTATACAATATTTTATGTAGCCTTGCATTTCATCAATCTGTTCAACAAGAACTTAAAGAAAATCAAAAATTCATAAAAACTGTTTCGGAAGCTTCGAATTCATCGACTTCAAACACCGAAGCATTTATTCCTTCGTCTTTGAGAAATAATTTGATGAGTATTAAAGCTGCTGCTGATGGAATATTGGTCTATCTCGATAAATTCAAAATACCGATCCAAAACGATAATAAAATTGTCAACACATCTGTAACGAAAATTCCAATGATTTCTTATTCACATAAAGATGCCAATTTTTGCAGATCAGTTGTCACTGCTCTCAAAGAACATTCCATTTCAGTCTGGATCGATGAAGATGGACACTGTTTGTCGAATGACTGTTGGGAAGAAATAGCAATAGCCATAAAGAACGCAAGCACGGTATTGATTGTTGTCTCAGAAAACTACTGTACTAAAAGTGATTCATGTCGTGTTGAAGCCACTTATGCTATAAAACTCAAAATTCCAATCATTGCTTTATATATCGATGAAAATTATCCGGCAGAACCTTGGCTTGATATTCATCTCACAGGATTACATGTTAAGTTCGGCAAAAAACCATTCGCTGAAAGAATTGCTCGTCTCGCTACATATATAACCGCACGTAACACTTCATTAGAATCTATGGAACCATTGCAGACACAAACAGGTCATTTTTCACATGAAGTCTTTATACCATCTACGGTAAAGGAAGATAATAGCTCATTAAAAGTGAAAGTTCCCGAAACTAATATTGAATATTCTATGCCGAAAACATCACCTTGTACATGGTCCAAAGCTGAGGTCAGAGCTTGGTGGTGCACTGAAAGAACTCTTATACCTCAATTATGCACGTTTTGTGATGGTGAAGCACTCTGCGTATACGCACAGATATTCTTAAATCTTTATCAGCAAAATCCATTAACACATTTGCAGAATTTACGGGAACAATCAAAACGTGAACATAGTGTCGATTTTTATGATGATCGTTATGCAAATATGGTGAGCTCTATGATGTGGATTGCAAAACAGAATGA